AGGAAGCTTTGAATAAAATAGGGAAGAATCGAAGAATCCAAATGACAGTGATATCAGAACATACCTTAAGCCTAAGGCTTTTCACCTTCTTCACCCCAGCAGTTGTTGACTAAGGGTTATTATAAATCAAAATATAAGAAACTATCCTTGTTTTATGAACAGTTTATTCAACTTACTAATGCAGTAAGGAATGGTACAATTACCATTGACCTTGCAAGTGGGTACCTTTTCTTTATATTAGCTATTAGTCAACCCCTTAGGCTGCTCTTGTGGTTAATTCTTGTTCAGCTTTCTATTTCTGTGTCTTTGTCGTATTGTTTTAAGACTTTTACTTATTTTTCTTCCAGTAACAGACTGTAGTATTTCTGACTATAAAGGATGATATTGAAGTAAGAATTCTGTTTCTATGCAAGTTACTCCTAATAGGTAGTATAGGGAATTAGAGAAATGACCCAGAGAAATAGTACATCTAAGTTTTCATATAGGATTTTGCTGTAGGGATATGATATGTTTAGTATATATTTCAAAATTAATATGCTTGATGGGAGTTCCCTGGTGACCTAGTGGTTAGCATTCTGGGCTTTCACTGCTGTGGCCTGGGTTTAATCCTTGGTCGGGAAACTGAGATCCTGCAAGCCGTGTGGCACAGCCAAAAAAATTTTTTTTAATTAATAAAATAAATTTAATATGCTTCATCTGTTAAATGTGATAACTTAGGAATCGGGAAGAGCAGAATTTGGTGGCTTATCCCCATGATGGAAAAATCTATTTCTGCACCTCACAAGATATCCCTCCTGAAAATGAACTGCTTTTTTATTACAGCCGGGATTATGCTCAGCAGATTGGTAAGTTTATGTAAGACTTGTTTGCTATGAATCTAGCATAGTAAAAGCACCAAGGACCAGTAGTAAAGTTTTGGTAACGATTTACATGTAAGCTGAAATAAATCACATACCTTTGTGTATATAAAAGCAGGATATTACCCCATGTTAAAAGTGTCAAAATCCGTGAGATTCTTCATAAGCTAATTGTTATTGACCAGGCAGTATGAACTTCTGTGTTAGGACTTTGATTTGGGGAATTTTGAAGTTCCTATGTTCCTTTTGAACCATTACAATTTCATTTCATAAAGGACAGCAAAGCTCCTTGAGTTGGTTTAACCTTCATAGGCTTTTTCTTGCACTGTGTCATGATGACAAGTGATGTTTAGGAGTTTGTGTATACTACAAAATCTTAAGTTTTTTGCCTAGGAAAGATGCCTTATAATCCAATATTTACCAAGTGTTCCCTATGTATGTGCCTGACACGCTATTTGAGATGTTGGGACTAGAGCATTGAACAAGATGTTTTAATTTTACAGGTAGTGGGCAAGCTGGAAATTTTGGTAGAAGGGAGAATTATCAGCAACAATTACTAATATCAACAAGTTTTAAGATTTAAGTATCAGAAGACATTGAATAATCTTTCTCTTAAGGTGTTCCTGAACACCCAGATGTGCACCTCTGTAACTGTGGCAAGGAGTGCAGTTCCTATACAGAGTTCAAAGCCCACCTGACCAGCCACATCCATAACCATCTTCCTAGCCAGGGCCACAGCAGCAGCCATGGGCCAAGCCACAGCAAAGAAAGGAAGTGGAAGTGCTCCATGTGCCCCCAAGCTTTTATCTCTCCTTCCAAACTTCATGTTCACTTTATGGGTCACATGGGTATGAAGCCCCACAAGTGTGATTTCTGTAGCAAGGCTTTCAGTGATCCCAGCAACCTGCGGACCCACCTCAAGATACATACAGGTAAGTTGTGTTGGACCATCAAAGTGAAATTCTGCAAAATTAGAAATTAGTAAGGCCTTGGCAGCAAGATAGTCTTGCAGGTAGAGTTGAGATCAGATGTTAGAAAGAGTCCAGGTGGCTGTCAGCAGGACTTTGTTGGGTCATAAGTCTTGGTGGGATAACTGTGCCTCCTCAGAGAGTATTACTTCTTGTTATTAAGATGCTTCACTTTCCAGGTGCCCCCACCATAGTTTGAAGGTGACTGGAAAAATGCAGTTAATAATCAGGAAGTTGATGTATGTGTTTGGGCCTAAAGGGAATTCTACAGAAACAGCCTGAGCCTCCCATTAGAGCTCACCCCTGGTCACCAGCCACAGCCAGTTTCTTTCCTTTGAATATTGCTCAGTAAACACTGCCAAAATTTGTTGAGTTTCTATTTTCTAAACTCCATACAAACCAACCCCTTTCTCTTAGCACTTTTTTTTTCACTTACTTTTTTACTTTGCTATAAAGTAACTGTTTTAGTTTCGTTTTCTTGGCTGGGTCATTCATTCTCCAAATCTTTGAAAGTAAAGCTTTTCCTTATTCTTTTCCATTAAGACTGAGTAGTCGCAGCAGAGACCGTATGGCCCACAGAGCTTAAGATTCTGACTGGCCTGTAAGAAAAGGTTTGCTAACCCCTGACTTAGAGTAACTTTATTTCTTTTTTTTTAATATCAGTTTATTTATTTATTTTTGGCTGTGTTGGGTCGTTGCTGCGTGTGGGCTTTTCTCTAGTTGTGGCGCGAGTGGGGGTTACTCTTGGTTGCTGTGCAGTGGCATCTCGTTGTGGAGCACGGGCTCTAGGTGCACAGGCTTCAGTAGTTGTGGTGCGTGGGCTCAGTAGTTGTGGCTTGTGGACTGTAGAGTGCAGGCTCAGTAGTTGTGCACAGACTTCATTGCTCCGCGGCATGTGGGATCTTCCTGGGCCAGGGCTTGAATCCGTGTCCCCTGCATTGGCAGGTGGATTCTTAACCACTGAGCCACCAGGGAAGTCCCTATTTCTGCATTCTTAAAAGGATTTTATTTCATCCCTGGTTTATGAGGTCATATTATATGTTTTAAAAAAGAATACTAAAATGTAGGTTGTAAAAATATGTTTGCTTATAGGCAAGTACTAGACTTCATGAGTTTTTTTTAAAAAATAATTGAATTAAGTTGGGCACTGGCGTTATAAGTGTGTGTGTGTGTGTGTGTGTGTGTGTGTGTGTGTGTGTGTAGGTAAGCAGTCCTAGGAGGTCAGATATGTTAGCTTCACTAGCTTTAGTTGCAGAATATAAATTCAGTGCCTCTGGGTACACAGTCCCAGAAAGTGAAGTCCCAGTTTACAGTCGGTTCTGTTTCATTCCTGCCTCCGCCACATACCTGTACAATGTGCCTCTTCATCCTGAGAATGCTCATAGCAGTTTTATTCACGGTGTAATTTGGGTTGATGTGCAGGTCAGAAGAACTACAGGTGCACTTTGTGTGACAAGTCTTTCACCCAGAAGGCTCACCTGGAGTCCCACATGGTTATCCACACGGGCGAGAAGAACCTCAAGTGTGATTACTGTGACAAGCTGTTCATGCGGAGGCAGGACCTCAAGCAGCACGTGCTCATCCACACACAGTGAGTCGCCCGCAGCCCGACGCCCCTCGGGCGGGGAACGAGGCTTGTCATCTGTCTCCTGCTTTGGCACCCGTCGGTGCCTCCTGTGTTCCGCGTAGCCAAGCAGAGGTTGGAAAACTAACGTTTTGGTTTATCCTGAAAGATTTCACTTGTTTTTCTTATTTTTCACCTCTACTCTCTGTATTTCCTTTTTTTTCATATTTTCAAAACATCATTTCATTAATTTAACAAATTCCTAAGTACCTCCTTGATGCCCAGCACTGTGCTAAGTGGTGAAAATACAAAGATGAGATGGTCCTTGGATTTAAAGAGCTTGGAGAGCATTAAGAGACAGAAGAGTAATTGTTGTACTGTGTTGCAGATGTCAGGGTAAGCGCTGGGTCCTGAGAGACCAGAGAGGAGGCCCCAGCCCAGCCTGCAGTGTCATGGGAAAGTGTCCTGGTAGTTTGAGCAAGCATTAAAGGAGATAAATTAGAGTTATTCAGGGAGACAGTGAAGGGTAAGGGATGAGAATACTGTTCTAGACAGATGAAACGGAGTATGCGAAAAGGACTGTGAAATGCGAGTGGTTCTTTTCTTTCTTTTTTTTTTTTTTTGGCTGCGCCGTGCGGCATGCAGGATCTTAGTTTCCTGACCAGGGATCAAACCTGTGCTCCTGCAGTGGAAGCACAGAGTTGTAACCACTGGACCACCAAGGAGGTCCCGCTAGTGGTTCTTTATAGTTAGAGCATTGGGTGTATATGAGAGCGAGGGAGAGAGAGGCAGCAGCCAAATCATGAAGAGCCTTTTATCCAACTGAGAAAATTAAATTTCATTCTGGAAATAATGGAGAGTCACTGAAGCATTTTTTCTACCTATGTACCAGGAACTATTCTGTGCTTCGTGTGTGTGCTTGCATGTGTGTATTTTAATTATGGCATAAAACACAAATTTTACTGTCTTAACCATTTCTAAGTATAGTTCAGTAATGTTAAGTGTATTCACATTCTTGCACAGGCATTGAAAGATTTTAAGGGAAACAATGTCATGGTGAGATGTTCGGTTTTTTTTTTTTTGAGATGTTCATTTTATAAGATTACTCTGGCAGCAGGAAAGGGTGATTGAAGGAGAAGGCCAAGTATTGGAAGACCTATTAGGATTTTATTGCATGGATCCAACTGTAATTAATTGCCCAGTCTGTGTTAGTTACAGTAGTAGTAGAGAGAAGAGAACAGATTTTGTGGTCCTGAGCTTTTAGCAAGTGTTAGAAGAGGGCGAAAACGTTAGCTTGAATTATTATTTAGAAATGCATAAAAAATGGAAACTTTATATTCTTATTATGGGTTTTAGATAAATATTTTGCTTTCATATCAGGTCTTTTATATGATTCATAGCCACAGTGCAACCTGAAACACTAAAACATCCAAGGAGTCTGGATCTACATTCCAAACTCTCAAAATGACCTTTTAAAACAAAGTCTACATTAAGTGGTTTCATTCTTAGTATGAAATTTTAGAAATTAGACACACTAATTATCAAATATTAGATATGATTGTACATAATTAGAGCTGAAAGAGATCTCTGGGATCATTTATATTAGTCAGCTTGAGCTGCCATTAACAAAATACCATAGACTGGATGGTGGCTTAAACAAAAGAAATTTATATTCTTCTGGAAGCTGGAAGTCGAGATCAGGGTGCCAGCATGGTTGGGTTTTGATGAGGGCCTTCCTCCTGGCTTGCACATGGCTGCCTTCTTGTGTCCTCACATGGTGGAGAGAGCGAGCAAGCTCTGGTCTCTCTTCCTCTTCTTATAAGGGCACTAATCCCATCATGGGGGTCCCATCCTTATGACCTCATCTAAACCTGATTACCTCCCACAGGCCCCCACCTCCACATACCATCACATTATGAGTTAGAGCTTCAACATACCAATTTAGGAGTCGGGGTAGGGGGATGACAAATATCCAACCGATAACACTGCTCATGGTAATCAGCTGGGAAATGTGAAAAACAGTGATTGGTGCCAGGGCCCCAGCTCCAGGGATTCTAATTTAGTTGGTCAGGCGTAGAGCCCTGGCCTTGGTATTTTTAGAAAGCTCCTCAAGTGAGTCTAATGTCCAGTCAGTGTTGAGTGCTACTGAGTTGATCCAAATGAAGGACTTGTTTCACAGTACCTCTGGCAAGTGGCTATATTGTTACTTCTTGAAAACCACACATAAAGAGGAGTTATTATCTTCCTTGACCTTGACTTTCTGTTCTTTCAAGTGATGCGTAAATTTGCACTTGCTTTTATGGTAGCCATTTCACAGCATAATGAAATAGAAATTATTATTATTATTATTATTATTATTTTTTTTTCAGCACATGGGCCCCCCACCGCTGTGGCCTCTCCCGTCGCGGAGCACAGGCTCCGGACACACAGGCTCAGCGGCCATGGCTCACGGGCCCAGCCGCTCCGTGGCATGTGGGATCCTCCTGGACGGGCCACGACCCCGTGTCCCCTGCATCGGCAGGCGGACCCCCAACCACTGCACCACCAGGGAAGCCCAGAAATTATTTTGAGATTAGTCGTAACTGCTTATCTCCTTTTGGGTTGGAAATTGGCTTTATCAGATATTGACCAGTGAAAGCAATTTTCTTAAATGTGGATCTGGACACTTTCTCATGATGACAAAATATAATAAGCCTCTGCCAAACTCCCCTGGTATAAAAGTTGTTTTCGGACTGTCAGGACTTAATGCTAGTATAAGTCATTCATAAAAGAAGCACCATTCACCCAATATATATATATATATACATTTTGGCTGCACCATACGGCTTGCAGGATCTTAGTTCCCCAACCAGGGATTGAACCCAGGCCCTCGGCAGTGAACGTCCTAACCGCTGGACTGCTGGAGAATTCCCCAACCAATACTTTTGAATGAGACTTCCTATAGAGATCATTGGTAAAATTTTCAGTTGTTTGTATCTTTACTTTTAGGCATTTCAAAATGCATATGTTAGTATTGGAATTCATTCTATTTATCTGCTTAGAAAAGAACTATAGCCCCTAAAGCCAAATGTAGGAGTTGTTCCTCTCCCAGTGTTCCCCTGGGAGTATAAGGCATGGGACTTTGCCTTTCCTCTAAGAAAGGAACTTGAGAGTAAGAGTGGGGTGCTTATTCCCTAGGTTGTTATCTTAGTCCCGTGGCTTTGTGATCTGTATCTCCAGCCTTATACAACTAACCATTCACTCAGCATCTCTGAGTTCTGGATGTCCGCTAGGCAGCTCAAACCTGATAAGTCCAAACTTCAACTCTTTGTGTTAACCCAACAAACTTGATTTTCCCCAGTGTTCACCGGCTCAGAAAATGATACCACCATTCATCCCAGTGGCTCAAGCCAAACACCTTGGAGTCATCCTCAACTCAGTCTTCCATTCTTTCCTTCATTCAGCTCTTGCCTCGTTGAGACCACCAGCATCTTTTTTATGGACAACTTCAGTAGTGTCCCAGCTGACTTCCCTGCTGCTCTTCTCTCTCCTCATCCATTCCCCAACACAGATATACACACAGGTGCCACACACACATGCTGTATTCGTCCACAGTGGCCAGAGTGATATATTTAAAACATAAGTCAGATTGTGCTCATGTCCAGTCGTGATTCTTCATTGACTAGAAGTCCCTTCATGATGTGGTAGTGGTACTTGACTACGTGTCCCACTCCATCTTTTTTTTTTTTTTTTTTTGTGGTACGCGGGCCTCTCTCTGTTGTGGCCTCCCATTGCGGAGCGCAGGCTCCGGACGCGCAGGCTCAGCGGCCATGGCTCACGGGCCCAGCCGCTCCGCGGCATGTGGGATCTTCCCGGACCGGGGCACAAACCCACGTCCCCTGCATCGGCAGGCGGACTCTCAACCACTGCGCCACCAGGGAAGCCCCGCACTCCATCTTTTATTGCTTTTCTCATACTGTCTATTTTACCCACATTGGGCCTCCCCTTGCTACTGCTTCAGCGTACTGAACATTGTGTCAGGGCCTTCGTACTGTACTGCCTCTGCCTAGAAACCTCCCTCTGGATATCTCCCTGTCTTCCTCCCTCACTTCATTCAGGTTTCTGCTTAAGTTCGTCATTTCCTCAGAATGGCCTTCCTTGATTATCTCATCTAAAACAGGACTCTGTCACTGTTACCTGGCTTCACTTTTTTTAATAGTATTTATTACTATCTGATATCACATTATATATTTTTAATTTGCTTATGGTGTGAGTCCTCCACTAGAATGTAAGCTCCGTGAAGTCAGGGACTGAGTTTTCCCTGTCCTGTAGCTCCACAGAATTCTTCTCTGCCACGTCCTGCTGGAGAAGGTGGTAGAAATGCTAAGGAGACCAGGCTTCAGAACTTTCCACTGCACCCTCACACTCCATCAAGGATTTTAACCCCCTTTTATTTGCTTCACATATTGGACTTTGATTAAGACATAGGGTTCAGATGCTCAAAAGAAGAGTTAAAAAATTCCTGCTCTGTGTCATCCCTAAGTTTCTTTTCAGCTCTAAATGTCTAGGCCAAGTTTACTCCACCCTTGACACTACTGACATCTTTAGCCAGATAATTTTTTGTTGTAGGGGCTACCAGAACACCATAGTTAGATACCATTGTGTATTGGTCAATTGGCACATGTTTTCAAATTTGAGTTTTCAAGTTGGTAAGAATGTGGGGCAACGGAAACTCACAAATGGCTGTTGATGGATGTGTATATCCATACAGCCATGTTGGAAAACAGCGTAGCATTATCTAGTAAAATTGAAGATGTATATATCCTTTGATCCAGCTATGCCTCTCCTGAGTATATGCCGTAGAGCAGCGGTCCCCAACCTTTTCGGCACCTGGGACCGGTTTCATGGAAGACGGTTTTCCCACGGATGGGGGACGGGGATGGTTCAGGCAGTAATGCGAGCCACGGGGAGCGGCCGATGAAGCTTCTCTTGCTCACCTCTGCTGTGCTGCCCGGTTCCGAACAGGCCGCGGACCCCTGCTCTAGAGGAACTGATGCGTATGCAAATCCACACACCAGTGTAGAAATGTTCATAGCAGTCTTGCCTGTGGTGATAAAAAACTGGAAACCACCAGAATACCCATTAACAACAGACAGAGCTAGTGCCACAGATAAGTTGTGGTATATTTGTAAGTAGCTTACAGCCGTGGAAGGGAGTGAACTACTGATACAGCAGCTTGATTGAAATTCAGAAACATACTGAGTGAAAGAAGCAAAACCCAAGAGAGATACATACAGTATGATCCCATTTACATAGAGTTCTAAAACAAGCAAAATCAGTCTGTGGTGTTTAAACTACAAATGTTTTATGACTCTTCTATATGATACATCTCCTGTTAAAAAAAAAAAGTTTGATTCTACTTGGGTAGAGCTTCTCTGACAAAGGTCTGAGGTTGTGCAGAATAAGTGTGTGCCTCAGTTGTCATTTGTAACCCCAAATCAAATGCTTTTTTCTTGTGTTCCTCTTAGAGAACGCCAGATCAAGTGCCCCAAGTGTGATAAGCTGTTCTTGAGAACAAATCACTTAAAGAAACATCTCAATTCACATGAAGGAAAACGGGATTATGTCTGTGAAAAATGTACAAAGGCTTATCTAACCAAATATCATCTCACCCGACACCTGAAAACCTGCAAAGGGCCTATGTCCAGTTCATCAGCGCAGGAGGAGGAGGAGGAAGACGACTCAGAGGAGGAGGAGCTCACGGACCCTGTGGGGGCAGAAGGCTGCCGGGTTAGCAGTGCTGTGTATCCCGCGGATGAGGCTCTGTCTACACATAAATGAAAGGGAGCCAGCTGTTTTGGATGGAAAGTACAAAAGGGAAAAACACACATGACCAGTTATCCACTACCGTGCTTTTTATATAAAGTAATTTCTGATTTCCTTCCAGCCAACAGTCAAAACAGACTAAATGGGAATGGATAAAGCACTTATAGAAAAGTATCCTAATGAAAACACTTTAAGAAAGATTGAGAGAAGAGCGTGTATCCTATTTTTAAGTGGCGTATGGGGAGGAAAGTGTCAACTTTTGAGATCTTTTTTTTTTTTTTTTGCTGTATGCGGGCCTCTCACTGCTGTGGCCTCTCCCGTTGCGGAGCACAGGCTCTGGACGTGCAGGCTCAGCGGCCATGGCTCACGGGCCCAGCCGCTCCGCGGCATGTGGGATCTTCCCGGACCGGGTCACGAACCCATGTCCCCTGCATCAGCAGGCGGACTCTCAATCATTGCGCCACCAGGGAAGCCCTGAGATCTATTCTTTATTTACATAATTGGATGATACATTTATGCCTGAGTCAGAGCTGCTCTCTGCCCAAACAAATCAGATTTATTTTAAATTCTTTCATTATTCCATTTTTCTCCCAACCCACTGATTTGGTAGCACTCTAAACTTGGTCCCTGCCTTACAATCGTCCTGATTATGGTTCTGGTGTTTTGTTTTATGCAGACTTGTGACTTAAGCTCATCCCAGAATGGATTGGAATATAACAACGTAAGCTTGTTATTCTTGACTGCAACTAACAAGTTTAAAGCACCACCTACCTTAATCTCTCCTGGCTGCTTGGGAGTTTAGGGTAGGTCTTGCTTCCCAGAATTTCAGCAGGTACCTAGAGGGCAGATAAAAAAGGGAGCAGCCAGGCAGTAGGCACTGATGGAGAGAAGAAAAGGAGAGATGCCTGGGCCACTGTCCAAGAAGCTAGCTTTGATGGAAGCTGGGGTAAGAGATCTGGTGGTAATTCCTTAGAGGTCTTTGTAAGTTTAGACATGTCTCTGTCTCCAGTGAAGCCTCCAGGACCCAGACAAAGGGGATCTGGGGGTGTAGCAACAAGCCAAGTAATGCCTGCTGCATTGTCTCCTGATAACAAGGACATGTGGACTCAGCTGGCAAAGTGGTACCTTGGCCCAGGGAAGGAAGGAGGGAATGATCCTTCCTGTCTGGCTTACCCTATGAAAAGGATCAAGACGCCATTAAAATGTTGCCAACTCCGAATGACAGATGAAATATTGGTGCATTTGCAAGATTAGGCCTTCCCAGTTGTCTGCAGTGAAGGACCTCATCAGTTAAGCATGGTGGATGCCAAAGGATTTGGGAAGTGCAGAAGGTTAAATGGTCACCACGCGGGTGTGTTTTCAGGGTCCCAGCTTAATTCATCTACCCATCTGATCTTTTCACCTTGTCTCTCTCATGCATCTCCTGCTTTCAGCAAGAAACAAACACATCTTAAAGTTGACGGTTGATGGAACATGCTCTCCTGCTCTAAGGCATGACCTCTGGGCTGGAGTAGAGAGAACCTTGGTGGGAAGGTTTTGCTGCTAATGTATTTATGGAATGAATGTATTTCATTCAAATCTGTATTCCTCTAGGAAGGATTAAAATAAAAACTTTTTAAAAAATATGATTCCTCTTGTAATCTCATTTTGTGGACGGAGAGGAATGAGTCTTTTTGGGGAAAATGAGGTACAACTTGAGTTTTCTTAAGGTCAGAAGTGGAGAAAGGATTTCCTAAATACTGTAGCTCTGAAATTATATTTTTGCATGCTTCTGCATAACAGTGCTTAAATAAACGATGCTCCCTGCGTTTCCAGCTCTCATTCCTGCCCTCTTCCTTCCTAAGGTAGTGCCTTTACTTTGCTGTCTCCTTGGAGAACTACAGGTCTACAGTTGAGGGAGTTGGTGAGGTGTGGTGGTTAGAGGTGGCTGTCGACACTGGGCCATGAAGGTTTCATCAGGGAGCTCTGGTGGGACTGAGGCAACTCTAATCTCAGCCTTTTGAGCTGGTAAAGGCATCCTGGGGGCAGTGACTCCTGTCCCCAGGAAACCATTGGTGCTAGAACTACAAGCACCCTTTCTCCCTTTAACTCTGGCTCACGCTGGGTTAAATTTCTTCATTTCCAGGTGCTAGTTGAAGTGCTGCCCAAGATAGTTAAACCTTATGTAAAAAAGTAAAAGAGGAATTCTGGGAAATAGTTTAGGTGAAAATGTAGCTGTTGTTGCTTGCTTTACAACTGTGTCTTCCATTTTTTTTTTTTTTTTACCTCTTAGACTTAAGTAACACATAAGTTATTCTCACAAGATGAGTAAATTAGTAGCTGCCCCTTTGACAAGATTTTACTCTGAGCCTTCCTTGCCCATTGCAGGTGTCTTCATCTGTTGCTCCTGCTGGGATCAGTCTGCTGTTGTGTAAATGGTCACATTCAGAGGCAGGATATTATGAGTGTGGGCTCTGTAGCCCTGCTGAATGTTCTCCAATGTGGGCTTTGCTGCACGATGGTTTGGAAGCTTAGTCAAGTTATGTAACCTCTCTGTGCCTCTTTTTAGTTAACTGTAAGCAGAGATTACTAATAAGAGTTCCCATTTCATAGTATTGTTTGATGTTAATTCATGTAAAGGGCTGGCACAGTGCTCAACATACAGTGAGCACTGGCTAATATTCTTTAGTTTTAGATTATCCTAGCACAGATTTCTATCCTTAAAATATGGCTGTTCATGACCCAAGAAGTCCTAGATTTTAGTAAGTCAAGTAAAACTGACATGACTTGAGTTTTCAAGGCCAAAGCCTAGAAACTATTTAGTTTGCAGTTTTGTAGGTCAGTATATGTATGTTTGCTGTTTCCTTCCTTAAAAGGCGAGTTGCAATCTTGCATGTGTGCTGAGTTCCTCCGTACGTCAGAGGGCAAAGAGGTGACAGGATCTAGTCTGCTTCAGCCTTTTCAGCCTATTGACCTATATTCACACTTCCTAGTGTGTCTTGAGGAACATAAACGTTGCCAGAGCTATCAGCCCCTTATTAAGTATGTAAACTTGTATTACCTGATCACCAAGCTGCATCTTAGAGTCAAACACTCAAAAACAACTTCAGGTATGTAAATGATATCATCTGTTATGGGCAGAATTGTGTTCCTTCAAAATTCATATATTGAAATTCTAACCCCAATACCTCAGAATGTGAGTATATTTGGAGATGAGGTCTTCAAAGGAGTGATTAAGCTAAAATGAGGTCCTTAGGGTATACCTTAATCCTGTATGACTGGTCTCCTTATAGAAGAGGAAATTTGAACAGAGAGACTCAGGAGGAAGATCACGTAAAGACCCAGGAAGAAGATTGCTATCTGCAAGCCAAGGAGAGGGCCCTCGGAAGAAACAACTGCTGACCCCTTGACCTTGGACTTGTGGCCTCCAGAACTGTGAGAAAATTAATTTCTCTTGTTTAAGCCCCGCCCCCCCCGCCCCCCCATCTGTGGTACTTTGTTGTGACAGCCCTGGCAAACTAAATACTGTCCAACTGAATAGACCATCTTTATGGTGATTGCTTCATAGAGGAGCAGCTTCCAGAGTAGTGATTACAGTTTAACCTCAGTTTTACAAATCGTGAGCAACATAATGGCAGTAACAACCTGTAGTGGTGTGTTTTGCCACTGGCAGATTTCTGGACTGCTGAAAGGATAGAATTTCTCCTCAGCTGTGTTTTTGTTCCTTTGCTTTTCTTGCATATACACTATTGACAGTCATGAAGCCCCCAGGCCTATGTCATCCTCAGACAAGGACAACTTTCTTTCAAAAACCATTTATTGGCAAAAACAAAACCAAAAAAAAAAACCCCGAAACACATTGAGTGCTGGCACAGATTAAGGCATTGTAAAGGAACAGAAAAATTGTTAGAACTTATGCCCTTGTCCTCTGGAAACTCAAAATTTTGCAGAGATCTGAATGCACAGCTGGATCACCTGAGGAAATGAGAAAAGTCAGGTGTCCAGGTCAGCCCCAGGCCTACTGATGAGCCTCCTGGGCTCCCCAGGTGATCCTGAAGCAGTCCACGGGAGTTGTAAACGTTGGAGACCCCACGAAATGCAGATGCAGACACCTACGCCCAGGGCAAGCCAGACCATGGCAAGTGTTACAGGTACAAGAGGTAGTAAAATCTAGGAGCAGGAGTGAAAATGTCCTACTAAGAACAGTAAGGAAAAGTGGGTAAAACAATCCTGGATCTGTGGTGTAGTAAAATAAGGCTGGGGCAATACATTTGAGATAACAGGGCTAAAAATTTTATTTTTATTTTATTTATTTAAAAAAATATTTGGCTGCATTGGGTCTTAGTTGCGGGTGTGCAGGATCTTTGTTGTGGCATGGGGGCTTCTTTCTAGTGACGCGAGCACGCGGGCTTAGTTGCCCCGCAGCATGTGGGATTTTAGTTCCCCAACCAGGGATCAAACCCAAGTCCCCTGCATTGGAAAGCAAAGTCTTAATCACTGGACTGCCAGGGAAGTCCCCAAGGAAGGCGGAGTTCTTAACCACTGGACCACCAGGGAAGTCCCAGGGCTAAAAATTTTAGAACGACTAGTTTACCAAATCAATAACTGCTTTTTGATTATTTTTAATTGCAATGGTAGTGTTTACTTGTGGCAGGCATTGTTCTAAATGTTTTCTAAATAACACATTTAACCTGCATTGTAGACTTGTGATGATTCCTAGTATAAAGAAGAAACAGGTACAAGAGAGGTTAAGTAATTGGCACACGGTTACATGGCTGGTAAGTGGCAGTCTGTGCCTAGCCCACCAAGCTTTATTGATTCTTCAGTAGTGGCCTGGCTAAAATTGGGATCTCACCATGGCATATAGGCAGGCTACAAATCTTTAAAGGCAGCCACACAGAACATTTAAATTATTCTATTTAGACAAAACATATTTATATACACGAGTTAGGGAACTCGTGGAAAGCATGCATTGGTTTTTGTTTTCTCCTCTGCTGCAGCAGCCCTCTCCACCCTCCACCCGCTTCGTGCTGCTGCCTACTTGCTGAGGCACAGGCTAGAGTTGGGCTTTGGGGTAGGGCAAACATCAAGATCTGTTAATGGCCAGAATGAGGAGAGAAAATCACTTCGGGAGAAGGGTACTAACTTTGGGAAAATTTACTTCTTGACTGATCTATCACTGGTCAGTAGACAACTTCCAGCCCTTCTTAGCTAACATGTTCTAGGACATCTGTGACACATTTATTTGCAGATATCTTTTGTAACAGCAGTAGTATATTTTCGTT